ACTACTACTACTACTACTACTACTACTACTACTACTACTACTACTACTACTACCACCACTGTTATTACTACAATTACTACTACTACAACACCCCCGGGGCGGTGCCACTGACTGAAGTGTCTTTAGGCCATTGCCAAAGGGGGGACATTTCTCGTTCCAATGCACAGTAGAATTGTAAATGGGCTGATCCAACAATATCATGCTCATAACTGTGCCTGGACTACAATAGGGAACTGCTACTTTTTCTTTCCCTGTCCTTACGATCGTCATTTTATCTATTTCTTTCGTATGTTTGTCACACTCTTGTGACCTGCTATTTCCGTTGTTGCCTTGATAGTCGAAGCAGACCTTGAGCTGTTGAAGCTAGAAAGGTGAGCAGAGTAAGTCTGATTCCCTGTAAGGACTTCTCTGTTGACATCCACCCCTAGGCGCTCATATGACCTTATGCAGTTGCGAGCGCCGTAAAACCTCTACGAAAACAAACAACTACAATTATGAAACAATAACAATTATTACTCACTGTGTTTGCAATGAAAGGTGACACCAAACCTCCGATGCGACCGAAAAAGGAGCAGATCCCAATCCCGGTATTCCTCACAAAGGTTGGGATAAGTTCCGCAGTAAATACAAACGCAGTGGCGAAACACACAGTTGTACACATCTTTCCGACGCTTGAAAGCACCGTGTTGATCCACGGTGCATCTAGAGGAAATAGTGAATGTTTCATTTATTAGGATACTAGCAAGCCTGTTAGTCGAGTAAGTAAGTGTAAGTTAGTCAGAGATTTTTATTAGTTTTCGTTTTAATAAACGTTTTTCGGCTCTTGCAACACAGTTAAGGTCTAACAGTGCCAATAATTAGAGGAGTTACAAGAGAGTAAAAAACGCATTAAAAAGGAATGAGGGAAAGGACGATAGATTGACGTTTGATAGGAAAGAACGAGCAAAGCCAACCAGAGTAGCTGCCAACCACCTACCTTTATTATGTTTTGCGTGCACACGAAAACCCAAGCTCATATTTTATTACACTTTCAATCACACCAATTTCAACACAAGAATGCCCTAATTATTTCTTTTTAAATTACTCTACAAAACTTAAGTTCAAACCTCAAACTTCCAACATTAACGTCACCAATCCCTATCCAACCCACCTGAGTCAGCCAACACCGGCCCCATCGTTGCTAAGCACGCCATTCCCCCTAGCAACATACAGGAACAGAAGAGTGGCTTTCTCCCCACGCGGTCAATCAGGACCTGGCTCAGGATGTAACCCGCCAATTCCATCACGGACAGGATGGTGAAGTTGAGGTACAGGTCGCCCTCAATCAGCGACCCAACGTTCAGGGTAAGCCCGTAGTAGCACACATTGAAGGCGAACCTTTGAGATGTACAACGATGGTGGTGATGATGGTAATGATGAAAATCGTAATTATAATAATGATAGTAATAATAACCGTATGTAATAATAAGGATAGTAAAAATAATCGTTATAGTAATAGTAATAATAATAATACTACTACTACTACAACTACTACTACTACTACTAATAATAATAAAAATAATAATAACAATAACAATTATAATATGTGAGGCAGCGTGGTGGAATCAGGCTCTCGTCAATTTTGGGGCATATTGAGTTATTGGTACTATCTTAAAGCTTATTCATTTGTCTTGCTTTCAAAGAAAAAATTACCCATCCATATTCAGTAGAAGTGGAGATATTGTGGATTGAAGGAGGTGGGGGTCACCAGGTTTAAGAGGTAAAACTAGGGAGAAAATGACCGCCAAAACTGGTAAATTCCAAAGCTGGTGAGTCCACGAAAACTGTAAAATTATAATTTTTGCCTTAAATCAACGTTTTCGGTGAAATCCCCAAAGGAATGCGTTTGTAAATTGACACAAAAGGTGTTGAGACAAAAAACAAAAATTTGATAAAAATTGCTAAGCAGGGAGAAATCTGCTGTTTTCTTCGATTTCATTATTTTGACGGGAGCCTGATTCCACCACGCTGCCTCACATATAATGATGTTAAGACTAATAGATTTAATATTGTCCTTTTCATGTACAAAACAACCCATCTTTTAAAGACAGTTTTTGGTCTCAGTAAAAACAATCTGATAAATAATACTATCCGTTTACTTTGCCTTCCTCTCGGAGAAAGGATAGGAAAGGGAGCATTTTTCTCTCACGTATTTCAAAAAAGAAAAAGAAAAGAGAAAAAAAAAAAACAGAAGAAAAAAAAACAGAATAGTGAGGCCCACTAGTTTGGCTCTCAGACTCGCAACCGTAAGGTCGGGGATTCGAATCCCGTCAGAGACCCGACGTTGTGTCCTTGGGAAAGGCACTTTACACCAATTTTCCCCACTTCACACAGGTGAGAATGGGTACCCAACTATAGACAGTGAAAGGCGTTATCAGTTTATTAGTGCTTAAGTGCTTACACAGCTGCTTGCGCTGTGGGCTTCCCGGAAAGCTGAGAATGTTTCTGAGTGTTCTATGGTCTGCTGGGGTAATTATAACATAGTGTAAAGCGCGTAGAGCTTGGTATAGAGCGGGGTAATGCGCTATACAAATTCTATTTATTATTATTATCTTTTTATCTGTCTAGTTTACGCTTACCAGACAAGGCAAAG